AAAAGGAACTATTGAAGATCGAATATCAAATCAAGCCAGGCGAAAGAAACTCATCCCTCTGGTAATGAATTATCAGTATGGGAGAGGTCCAGCTTTGTGAGAGGTCAAGTGCAAAGGACCTCAAGGCAGAGCGAGAATAATCATAATGATAATTTTTATAGTTTTGTCTATTTTACTTGTGTATTTACCTGATGCTGGGCGTTCTGCTCAGCAATGCTCTTCACACATAGAACCTTTTATTTTGGGAGTAAGCTTCGGGTAGATATTGCCGTTGTCTCCATTTTATAAAGATGAGAAAACTGAAATTCAGAGAGGTTGCCTTACCCAGTGTCATATCAGATAATAAATGGCACGGCCTGGATTTCAACAGATGTTCACGGTCTCTACCGTATTCTATTACATTTTACTTAACTTTCATGAGTAAAAGTTTGCTGTCGAGAAAGCAGGCGGTAATTCCACCAAACTTCTGCCTTGCGTCTGGACGATATTGCTTCCAGAGATTTGTGATCAGTTGTTGGCATCTCATTTCCAGAAAATCCTTTTAAAAAAGAGCAAATTCACAGGAGGGCAAGAAGAAACCTCTCACATGAGAAACGTTTGAAAAAAAATTGCAGAAGGGTTGGTATGGGGACTAGACGACCTGGGGACACATAAAATCTGGTCTCAGATGTCTGAAGAGCTTTCGTAGGTAAGGAAATTAAACTTCCCATTTTTAACATCCCAAGACATTCTTATGATGTACGAACGAAAGTCATACATGGAATTAAAACGTGGGCCCATCACGTGGTCATGTTCTCTTCCATGTAGCGCTGAAAAGCCCGTTACGTGTGGGATAAAACTCCTCGTGCTTGTTTTCAATGTTGACTTTTATTTTTTCAAACTATAAAACACATAGCTCAGCTGATTTCATAGCGAAACCATTCAGAAGCTCATATCTGCATGATTGCAGCTGAAATAGACTAAACAAAAAAATGCAGTCAGTACAAATTGCTGTGGGTTATCTATACAGCTACAGCGTGTGGCGAGAACCTGGAAGCTGCAGCCGCAGCGTTTCTGAGACTTCCAGTAAATCAGCTTCGCTCAGTGTTTCAGACCTGTGTCCAACTCTTCGTGGATGTCTAGACACAGCCTGAGATGAAGCTTCAAAAATGGGTAGAGACGAAGCGTCCAAAGCCACCAGAAGCCTTTGACCCTCTTCTAATGTTTCAGATAATTATTTTCCCTCTCAAGAATTTGGCTCTCTTTTGGGGGGAGGGGGGCATTAAGATTTTCCATGCGAAGAGCCCCTGAAAGAAAATACTCTGGAGAAATGTCAGTGAGAATGAGCCAAAGCTGAATTCTTCAGATCTGCTTAGAGAACGTGGAACGTCTGTACCCTTTCTGCTTGGCGCTCCTGCTAGCTGGCCAGTGCTCTCCGTGGCATCGGTCCAGCTCTGCCTTCCCCACCTATGCATCTTAAAGTAACTCATACTGAGCAGTAAACACCTCATACGGGGCCTAAGTGAGAGCTAAAGCTACGGTCGGGAGGTAATTAGATCATTAAACACTGATGAATTTTGATTCCGTCGAGATAATCTATTACACTTTCTGCTCTGTAGCAAAGACTCAAGCTTTAAAATTTTCTAATGATAAACTTTCATAGGTGGAGAATATATTTCTTTTAAATATGTCCCGCTTTTAATTAAAATTACTCGTTCTGCTTTTGTGATTTGTGCCCCTTCAAACTTCTTATCTTAGGTTTTTCTGTAGAAAGTTAAGGATCCAGTCAAAAATGATGAGTTGGTTTTAAAGATAAGCACAGCCCAAGTTCATTCCATAGTTCTTTTATTCACTTATTCATTCATTCATTCATTCAACAAATAATTTCTTTTAGGGAGGCCATGTACCAAAGACTATGGTAGGCCAGAGGGTGCCGTTTATTAGTCATGTCACCTTGGGAAAGTCACCGAATCTCTCTACATTTCACTGCGCTCAGCTGTAAAACAGCTCTATTACCAACTTTGCAGGACTTCTATGAAGATTAAATGAGATGATTTCTCTTTTAACATAGTAAAAAAAATTAGACATGTCTATTTTATTCTTATCCATCCATTGCTATGTCCAAAAAAATCATATACAACAGAAATGGAAAGTCTCAAAAGCCCTGGAAGGTAGCAATGTCATTTTACCTTTCACAAGACTCGTGGAGTGCACTGGATTGAATTCTGAGAGTGGCCATGCATAGTTTACCCTGATTAAGAAAAATGGGATAAACAGGAAAACAACAAAAAGAAACTTCTACGCTTCTTTACTGAACCAACGTAAGAAACGCGGATACGGTGTCAATCAGAAATCCAGATAGCCAGCTCTACTTTGAGTCCAGTTCAGAAAAATGAGTCCCAGTCAGAACTTACAGATGGGGAAGTCCAGGTGTAAAACGCCTGATGATAAGTATTTATTCAAGTTAAACATATAGAGTTTCATCTAAATAATTGCTTAAATGTAACAAAATTGAATACAAAAGTAAAAAAAAAAAAGAAAAAGGACAAAAAGAGACTTTTATAGATGTGTGAAAACAATAGTTCAGAAGTAATATTCTAGGTCAATATTTCTAGATAGATCAGCACTTGTCATGAGAAAAGCGGCAGAAAGTAAAAGCTAAATTCTTCAATACATCAGGAATTATAATTTTATTCCTGACGTATTAAAGAATTCCTGAATTGCATATATACAAAAAGGAATTTAAAAATTATTTGAAAAACTAAAAAATAATCATTTACCTGTAGACCTGAAAACCACTAAACAATATAGAAACAAAAAAAAGATAGTTCATTTCTCACGCTACCTAAAGGAAACAGTAAAGAGAATTTTTTTAAAAGCGTATGTCAAAATGACAGAACTAAAATGTATAGCTATGGCAAGAAATAAACATGATTACAGTTTCCCAGAATCCCCTGGGGATATAATGATGAGCTTAAAAAAGACACAATCTTTGTCCAAATGTTGTTTATGGGCTAGTTGGGAAGACGGCCATTATCAAATGATAAGAAAGAGAGAAAAAAGAAACTCACACTTAATTCTGTAAACACATGTCATTAGTGCTATGAAGGAAAAGTAAATAGGAAACATGTCTGAGAGAGGAGCTGACTTGTAGGGGTGGCAGGGAAGTGGGGTCCGAGGACGCGATGACGGAGCTCAGGTCCCGAGAAGGAGTAGCAGTTAACCGTGCCATGAGGGGAGGAAAGAGCTGCAGGCAGAGAGAGCCGCGTACTCGGAGAGCTGGGGAGGAAGCATGGCACGCTGGAGGGAGAGGGCCAGTGTGGCTGGAGCAGACAGGGCCGCAGGGCAAGGGGAGCGGCACGTGAAAAGAAACTGGAGAGCAAGGTAATGGTGGACCAGGCCGGGCAGGGCTTTGAGGGCCATCGTGTCATCGGGAGTGTGGTCTTGTCCCCAAAGCAGGTAGCTATTAGTGTTTTATGCCAGGGGTGAAAACACTCGATTCACATTTTAAGAACATGACGGGGATTCAGTGAGGAGAGCAAATTTAAAGGGGACATGTGATGCTGGGACACCATCGAGGGGGCTGTTGTAATCGTCCGAGAGAGACGATAATAAGATGGTGGCCGATATTCAGGAAGTCTGCTTTCCGGTGGTAGAATGGGAGAGGAGTATGAGAGAGCGGAAGGTGTGGAGGATGCCCCCCGAGAGTATCCGGATTTCACTGCTGCCGCGTGAAATGAGAACACCAAGTTAGGAATCACCAATTCGGTCATTCATTCAAGGTGCCTTTGAGACCCGCGAGTGGAGAAGTCGACAGGTGCTATGAACCTGGGGCAGGTCTGCACCGGAGATAGACACCTGTGAGCCGACGCGTGTGAGTGTGAACCGAGGTCCTTAGGCACGGACGGGAGACCTCGGGAGAGAATAAGGAGAAAAAGATCGTTAGTCGTGTACACTGCTGGTATCGGTCTACATTAAATCACCTTTTCTGGGAAGGCGACTGGAAATGTGTATCGGTGTCTTAAAAAAATAATCTTCATTTTGATCCTGTAACTCTATTTATTGGAATCTATCCTCAGAAAATAATAGTAGCAAATGTGACGAAGGCTTATAGATAAAAATATTCATTTAAGTGTTATTGATGATTGTGAAAGAAAATTACTTGTCTAATATTAGGAGATTAAGTAAATGACTCTACATTTATATTAGTAAATATTGTCATTAGAACTCGATGCTTATAAAGAGGTGGCATAAGTTGATGACTGTGATATAAAAGCAAGTGGAAAAGGACACAGAATTGATAGAGATACAAACTCAGCTGTGAAAAACACATCAACAGGAGTGTAAAGAGCGCAGGTTATTGGTAAATAGTGAAAAATAGAGGATTGTCACTATTTTTATACTTTTACCTACTTTCCATTTTTTTCCAAATAGGCATGTATTACACCTTATGTATTAATTTATCATTAGAAAATAAATTTAAAATTATAGTATCGTCCCAGTTAAATACTGGTTAAAGTCTGATCCACACTGGTTAATGTTCTTTTCACAATATTGATGAACATTTCTGTTTTGAATCTAGCATAGTATTTTAGGTTTATAAGATGATTGCCATGCATTTTAAAGTTTTACAGGCCATTTAGACTTGTAAAATAGCTTCAGAAAATTGATCTAATTACTAGGCAATAGCAAACCCACTCCCCTGGGGACAGCCCCCTATCAGTTTGCACCCAGCGTATGACATCGAGACCATTTGTATTTCCTTTACTTCTTATTGTTTACAGTACAGGTGACTGAATGCTTTAATGTGAGGGGTTTTTGTTTTTTTTTTTTTAATTATATACACATAGGAATTTGCTAATTATTTTAATTATGATGAATTGCTTTTGTCTTTCTCCAGTGACTGTGAGAAAACTATCTGTCTGGACTGCCATTTGTATCATCATTGTCTGCAGCGATAAAAAATCATTTTGAAATTGGTTCAAAACTAAAAGCACAATTTTTTTTTTTTTTAACTCCAGGAATGTATACAAAGACTATCGCTTCCTCGAGCTGGCATGCGACTCACAGGAGGATGTAGACAGCTGGAAGGCATCTCTGCTGAGAGCTGGAGTTTATCCCGATAAATCTCTAGTGAGTTGGATATATCTCTTACTTTTAAATTATTAACCATTTCTAGGAAAACTGTATTCTATATGCTGCATGCTGGAGAAACCAGTTCTCTTTTGACTTTAGTTTTAACTGATATTTTGCTTATATGTCTTTTATTCCGTTAGATTTCTATTTTAAGAAGTTCGTCAGTATATGTTAAAGACAATGCCCTACTCTGCCATTAAGCACAATATATGTAATCTGAGACCAAGAGAGAGTTTCCTTGTTTTAACTTAAAATTTTATTTTCCCTTATAAGCTGTTTCACAATTTTTGTAGCTTATAATAAGCAGTTTATAACATTCTTCATATAGAAATTGCTTATATAGATCATTAAACATAACTGTTTCATAATCTTAAAAATGTACTTATTTTGATAAAAATCTAGCTCCCTTCATTAGGTCTGTAGTACCTGTATCTAAAACTAGATCTGTGTTCAAACTCTGGTTAATGTCATCGCGCGTGTGAAAGAACAAAAAAATACTAGGCTGCCATCCCCACTTACCTTCATTAACACACTTCAAGTGTCTTTGAGACACTTCCCTCATCCAGTTAATAAACAGACTTTCCCTTTGTGTTCTTGGGAAACGTAACACTACACAGACGGGGCTGGGTTTGAACTTCAGACGTCTGACCCAGCCTCTGCACACATACCGTTGCACAGACTGCAGGCTGAGGGGCCCCCACTGCGTACTCGCTGCTCCCCACAAGCCATCGCACTGTCCAGGTTACCCCAGGAACCAAAGTCCCGAGACCGAGCCTTGGGGACTTAGGCCAGCGGGACCTCGTGGCGCTTCCTGGGCTCTAGATCAGTTTCTAGGGCTGGCCATGCACGAGTCTGGTTGTTTCTAGGCCCCAAATAGAGACACAGTCTTCTCAAGAGAAAGTCTGAGATGTGGGCTCAACACGGGACAATTGAAGGCTCTCTGGGGACACGTCAGACCGACCATGTCCGTGAGGTTACGCTGGAATTGAACAGACTTCCAGGGTAAAGGACTGAGGACTTGAGCCAAAATGTTCCCCTCATCGCTGTTGTTTTAGCTCACACACAGACCTCGTAACCCCTCCCCCTCCCCTGCATCTGCTTAGCACCGAAAACAACACCCCCACACACACCAGACACCCTCCAAACAGGGTGACGCCTGACCCTGTCCCCATGACGCCCGGGCACAGAGGCATCTGCGTATGGTTTTCATGCTTGTCCAGTTTTTGTCAGTTTTGCACATGCATATGTGCACAGGTATCTATCACTCTAAAGACCACACGTGAGAAATCATTTTAAAAATTCCTGCTTTCGTTAATTCCACTCATTACTTATCACTCTTCCCTCTCCATTGGTGGTAGCGTGTTTAATTTCACATACATTCTGTATTAAAAACGGGTATATACCTACTATTTTATTCATTCCACAAGAAGCTGTTGAGCACGTGTTTTTTGCCAGGCACCTTCCTAGGCACCAGTGATCCAGGCGTGGGTGATGACATCCCGCCACCCAGGATCAAACATTTAACAAGAGAACTAGTAACCGTATAATTATATTGTGTGGTTTAAAAGGGTGATAAGTTCTATAAAAAAATAAAGTAAGTTAAAGGGACAGACGGTGAGAGTGAGGGCAGGCGAGCAAGGGCCTGACGTTTGTGGGCTGCTGAAGGGTGGGGATAAAGAATGTGACAGTCTGGGGAGGCGTATTGGTGGCAGAGGACTAGCAAGTGCAAAGCCAGCTCCCTCCACAGAAGCGCAGCGAGAAGGTGTGTCTGGAACAGAAGGAGGGAGGACAGAAGTGGCTCCTAGTTTCCAAGAGGGCGGTTGGGGCAGGTCACGCAGGCGCTTGAGGAAGTGGCAGGCATTCGTTTGAGTTTTATTCTGAATGAGACAGGAAGCCAGGAGAGCACTGTGAGCCCACTGAGTTAACATAAGATGTACCTGTTTAAAGATCGCGATCTGTGGGTGTTATGAGAAGCAGTAGAGAATGTGGGTTCAAGCACAGGCTTTAGTGGCAAACTACCTAGACTGAAATTCTGGACACTCACTACAAGCTGTGACATCTCGAGCCGGATGGCTAGCCTTTTTAGGTTTCAAGGTTCCCATTTCTAACATGGAGGTCACAAAAGTCCCCCAAAGCATGGTTGGCAGGACTAAACGAGACAATGCAGGAAAAGCACAGAACAGGGTGGGCACAAGTACGTGCTCTATTTCTGTTTATAATAATGATGATAGTGATGATAATTATCATTTTCATCACTGACTACTTTCTTTAACAAGTAGAAAAGACAGCTAAAACACTGTGGATATTAGAGCCCAATGAGACTGTAAAATATTTATGCTGTTTCTATCTTCCAAATATGCTTAGTTACATAAAATCATATGTGTGTGTGCGTGTGTATCTTCCTGACGTACAACTGTAAGGTTTGTGAAAATGTTTCCTTAAGTCACGGTTTTGGCAAGTTAAATGTGCTAGGCAAGTTTGCCATGTAAAGAATTGTGCAATACACCTCTCGTGAGGCAAGAGCTGTCTTGGAAAAGCAGAATTACCTGTCCCTCAGGGAACTCTTTCTATAAATCTGGATTTTCATGTATCCACAGTGCTACACAAGGAAGAGGCACAATGAAATTGTTGCTATTTTATAACAAGATGCTCAATTTTAAGCGAATCTACAGTTGTCCTACACAATCTGTTTTGATTCTTCTCACATTATTTTTATTTGTTTAGAAACACACATTTGGTACAGTCAGTTGGGAGATAGAGACAAAGGCGTTTTTTACTACATGCCAAAGACATGACAGGAAATTAAACTTGGCAGCGTGCCATGAACGTTGCTTTTCTCAGTTTTCATCATAAACAATATTTGCATTTCTTATGCACCGTGTAGTTCCGCAGGTTTTATTACACGATTGCTTGGCTTCCAGATGTCTAAATGGCAGCTAACTACTGAAAGCAATTGAAGTAGAATGTGTATCCAAACTTCACATTTTGTGAGCAGTTAGATTTGAGGGAAAGGATCCTTTAAGTTCAGTTATTTTTAATTTAGAAAGATTGGATGAAGAAGTCAGATTTACCTAATAACAGATGCCTGTCCCTGAGGAAAATTTTAGGATTCTGGTGTGTCATTTCGTTTTCGTATCAATAAACCATCGCGTCAAGAGCAAATCTCTCAATCTCTACCCTAATAATGAAGCATTTATGTGTCATAGGTGGACATGCGTCTAGACTCAAAAAGTTTTGCCTTCTGCACATGACACCTCTATTTTGGCTAGAAAAAAAAAATTTACATTGATTAATTTTTGAAGTTTCATAAGCTCGGTTTCATTTAGATAACTAGCCATCATCCAGATTCGAACGAAACGCTGTTTTGGGCACCTGTTTCCGGCTGCGGCAGCATACTATTTTGTGACATGCTTTTCTCCCCAGCGTGCTTCCTCTCCCGCATCCGCGCGATGGATGCGTTCGCGTCCTCACACCGTGACGTTCTGCTCGCCCGTTTCCTCGGTCTCAGGTCGTTTCTCTCGGAGTCTTCTACAGTTTTTTCCCCGTTCTTCCTTCTCATCCACCCTTTTCCCCCACTTTCTTCCTTCCCTTCATTCATCACTGTTACGGTGGACTCTAGAGACTCAAGGATAAAAAAGATGCAATTCTTGCTTTATGGCATTTCCACATCTAGTGGCGGCGAGAGACGCAAATACACAACGGCTCTACGATGTGCTAGAACCACCGTGGCTATCGGAAAAAATGCGATAGCACAAGCGCATTCCCACGCGCGTTCCCACGCGCGTTCCCACGCACGTTCCCACGCACATTCCCACGCACGTTCCCACGCACATTCCCACGCGCATTCCCACGCGCACTGTCCGAGTACCTTGTTTTCACGGGTGCGTCTTCTGATTACCTTCGGTCTCTTCATCTTTCTGGACCCAAAGCACAAGGTAGACTTCTCATCCGAGCGGTGCAGCGTGTGGCCCTCCGGAGGAAGCGAGGAGCACGGATTCGCTTTCCCACGATGCCGCTGCGGTACCGCGAACTCGCCCGTGGCCCCTCTGAGCTGCCCGTGTGATATCCTTCCAGTCACCGGACCTTTTTCCAGCAGGCCACAATATTTTTAGAATATATTTAAATCCGAATTTGGATTCAGCAGAATTTTGTTTCTGTTTCCTTCGGTGACTAAGTCGGAATGATAACCAGTATAAAAGTCTATATTGTTAAATAAGCGTATAAGATTTTACACAGTTTGAAAGTAAAAGATGTTTCTAATAGAATTAACTTTTAAAAATATATTAGACAGATAAAACGTGTGTGTGTATCAGTAGTTATAGGCTACTATCAATGCACTTTTACCAGATTATTTTACTAACACGTACATAAACTTTTCCTATAAGTTTAAATACAAATTAATATGCAGTTGATTAAATATCTAAAGAACATGGTATAACAAATGACTGATTTTTCTGGCACCGTCTTGTTGGCTTTCAACATGACTTAAATTATGCATAAACATTAAGGAATTCCGAATTCTTTGGAACGTTTCGTGTGCAGTGAGATGAGGTAGACTCTGAGTCACACCCACTCACGTTTCAATCTCGACCCTTCCATTCGGTAGTTGTGTGGCTCAGACAACTTAACTCTCCAGTCGTTTATTCTTTTTTAAACTCAAAACGACACCTTCCTCGAGTGATTTGATAAGATGAAATGAAGACCGTTGCTATCGCATCTAGCTCAGTGCCTGCAACCGAGTGAATGTGTTCGATGCCACGTGGCCTCTATTATTATTGTTGCTGAAAATCATCACTGTGTCCATAAAGCTTAATCCCCAGTTTCGTAGTTCCCTTTGCTGTGGAAACTCTCCTTGGGATTTGGCATGAGAAGGAGAAGTCCCCCCGCGCTGGCCGAGGAAGCCCAATCGCTTAGGCGGGGTCTTGGGCTCATGCTGCCCAGTGGCCAGGCGGGTGTCAGTGGCTCCATCAGCCAGTCAGGAGGGAGGGTTCTCAAGC